GTGTGTGTGTGTTTGAAGAAATAGATTTTTGGTATCTTTGGTATCTTTGGCTATCCTGCAGTTCTCATGATAGACTCAAGCCAACAGAGCTTTCTTAGCAAGGTTACAGAATCTGTCAAGATGGTTGTGCCAGGGAAGCTACAGAGATACCTCAACAAGGATGAAGATGCCATTAGACAGGTGAATTAGGGTGGGTTTATCACAAGAGCCCCGGTAGGGATATAATAATAAATGTTGAGGGGGGTGCCTGGGTAGTTCAGTTGGTTAAGCATCCGACTCTTGGTTTCGGATCAGGTCCTGATCTCACAGTGGGTGAGTTTGAGCCGTGAATGGAGCTCTGCACTGACAGTGTGGAGCCTCCTTGGGATTCTCTCTCTCCCTTTCTCTCTGCCCCTTCTCCGCCTTAAATGAATGAATGAATGAATGAATGAATGAATGAATGTTGGCTATAGGATGGAGGGGAGCAAGGTCACTGGGGGTGAAGAAATGAAGGAAAGAGAACTGGTCACATTTGCCACACAGGTGGACATTGACATCACACGGTACTGGCTGGTTTCCAGGTGAGTACGTCACTGAGGGGAGAGAGCACCGCAGGTGGTCGATGGCAGTGAGGAGGCAGGTTGGAGGGCAGTATAACTGGACGGCATGGGCCTCAGAGGAAGAGGGTTTTGTTGCTGTTTCTTTTTTAGGGGGTGAGGAAATGATGCTCTGCAAACTGGTAAAAGCAAGCCCTGCTTTCCTCCTCCTCCAGAGCCTGAGAATCAGAGCTGGCTAGCACGGGAAGCCGTGCAATGGTTCTCTTCATGTGTGGTCCCGGCACCAGCCGCCTCCAGTCACCCGGGTGGGAACCTATTAGAAATGCACGTTCTCGGACCCCAGAGGCTCAGAAACTCTGGGAGTGGGCCCAGCAGTCTGTGTTTTGACAAGCCCTCCAGGTGACTGTGATGTGCTCCTGAGAGCCACTGCTGCGAATGAAAGCTGATTGGGTGAGGGGAGGGAAGTAGTCCTTGGGACCCGTGAACAGTCTCATGGATTTCCCCTGGCATGTTTTGGAAGCAGGCAGAGCCTGGCATCCGTGGACATGAGACTGGGCTTTTGTGGTCTCCAGTGGCATCAGGCTGATAATAATAGTCTCAGAGCACATGTTAGGAGTTTGATCTTTGTCTGGATGTAGGAATTTGCTATTAGCCCCAGCAGCGATTGATTACGAGGAATAATTTATGACTTTAGTTTGACTTTAGTTGTCATTGCCAGGGTTTTAAAACTGTGATTTTCTATATGCACATGAATTTATTTTTAAACTTCGTAAATATTTCCTGTCATAAAAATAAGTTGTGCTTATTATAAGTGAGAGTAACTTGGAATTCAGAATTTCTTTTTCCTTAAGGAAGAAGACAGGTTACATGTTACTTCACAGACTTAGCCTGTTCACCCTATCTCAAATAGCAGGTGTGCCATTATTGTGCCACTAGGGAGGGAAGACCTTTTCTTAAAAACCTGTAAAACTTGTAAAAGGTGAAGGAGAAGATTGTGTCAATGTGTGTGATGAACATTTTCGAGGGGGATGATTGGAGCTGTGTTGGAGAAGCCTCAGGGGTGAGGTACCCCCGAATTTAGTAGGCATGATTCTCATCTCAATTCGGCGTTGGCCACAGACCTGTAATTCAGAATGCGGCTGCCTTGGTGCAGGCCCATAAAGGGAGAGAAGGAACTCCGGCAGCTTGGGCAGCCGTGGTGGCAGGCTGATGTCATGAAACAGAATTGGGATTGGAGGGCTGGGGGCTTGTGCATGTGTCCCAACTGATTCATTAGAAACGTGTCGCGTGGATGAATTCAACAAACACATGCACGCCTGGTTTAATGCCAAGACGCATTCTAAAGGCAAGGAAATTGAGGCCCCCAAGTTTGATGTTTTCCCCAAGTCAAAGTCAGTGAGGAAGCCAGGAATCGAATCCGGGTTTCTTAAGTCTGAAATGGGCTACCTACCATGTGAGTATAGTGGCTTGGTTTCCTGTGGCCCCAGGACAGGTCTCTTGTCACTCTTCCTCTCTCTGAAAACAACAAAAGAAAACCTCGGAAATATTTGTCAAATAAATTTGTATGGTGGCGGGTCTTCTTAATTCCCTGTCAACAACTGATTCACTGTCATGTAACATTTTAGCACTCACTCACTTTAGCAGGACGGATCTTTGAGGAAATGGCTCTTGGTCAGAGGACACCTGGGACGCTCAGCAGTTTTGTTCAGTTGCCCTGATGCCTTGTTCACTCTTTTCAGCTCTTGGCCATCAAATATTGGTACCATAGGCGACTGACTCCTCTTCAGAACATTTAAATGTTTAATTTGCTTGTGAAGCATTCAGTTTGGCTGGGAAAAAAAAAATTAAACCCTCATAAATAAAGGTTGCCGCCTTGCTCTCGATGCTGTTTGTGCTAAATTAATTTAATGTACTAATCAGAGTTCTGATGAATTCTGTGAACTGCTAATTTTAAATCAGTGAATAAATGGTAGTAACTTTGGGCTGGTTTTACTTCCCAGAAGGGACTATGTGGAGTTGGGATTCGAAGGAAGTGGAAAAAATCAGAAGACAGTTGCACACTCTCTTTCCAGTATTTTCTCTGAGGTCCTGTTTCCTGGATCACTGTTGCCACGCTTCAGGGTTCCTTCTTTCCCTGCCTGCTCCCTTCCAGCCTATTGGCCCTCCCTCTCCCCCATTCCTCCCCTGCCTATCTTCCCTCCATGCTTTCATTCCCAGCTCCTTCTCCCTTCTTCTCTGGGGAAATACGTTTGTTTTTTTTGTTGTTTGTTTGTTTTACTTTTGCTGCATTAGGAATTAGACTTGGAATGATCATACCTGTGAATCAGAATTCTAGAGCATTAATTAATTTCTTACCATTTAGTTTTCTGTTTCATTCAAACAAACTAAGTAATGGTCTTTCCATGTAGGCATTTGATTAGACCCTGAAGGGCCAGATCAAGCTGGTTTCGGCATGGGGCCACATGTTCCAGCAAGGCCTGTTTCAGTTTTGAATGATTCGGTACTTAGGCTAAAACCATTCGAGACTGACTCCAAGAAAACAGAACTGGCAACACACTCTGTTCCATTGCATTTTGTCCAGCATGCATAATTTTTTTAAGGTTTGGAGTTGGGAGACAGCACCAACCGAGAAAGGAATCCCGTAAGTGGGAGAAAGGCTGTCGCATTGTTAGGAGAGCATTTCAGCCTGAGTGATTAGCGGTATTTGGCCATGAGGAAGGGGCCTCTAAAAATAACTGCTGAGCAGAGTTTGCAGTCAGGTCCAATTTCAGTTCTAGAGGCCTTGCCCGTGGAACAGTTGGCCAGTCTGAAGCTCTGTAGGGAAGGGCACTTGGCGTGCGTGATACCTGCTGATAGTTCTGATTTTTGTCTTCCATATATACTCTTCATGGATTGAAGAAACCAAAATGGCTGAAGGTAAAGGTACATTTTTATTGTTTGGGTTAAAAGTGGTTTGGGATCTAGCTGACAGCTTTTAGCTTTATTTTCAGTTGTGCACCTTTAAAATACTTTTGACTGTTCGACTACGTTTTCTACATCTTTTCTATTTAGAACTCCTGGAGACATCACCTTTTCATGGTAGTTTAACTTTTCCTGGAGTAATCTGTCCTTGATCTGAATATGTTTTGGTGTCTTAGAATACCTTTTAGTATATTAGATTATATATTTGTAAAAGCAGAAACCACATTTTAAAAACTTCAGAAAAATGTACAAGCAGTCTTCTTTGGTCTTATAATTACAGTAAATTCAAAGAATTGTGTGTAGTTAGATTTAGATCTCATATGACATTATAGGAAATCTAAGGCATGTGTAAGTCTTGTATTAGTGAGCACACTTAGTTGGTGCAGGCAGAGCTTGACTCAGGCTTTACCATGTGTGGAAACTGACCTAATTTTTGTGAAGCAGGTGATAAATGCAAAGTAAAGATGCTAGTGTTTTATTTTGTATTTAAACTGAATCTTTAACTTCAAGGGCTCTTAAATAATGTGTTGAATTTACATTTTTGTATATTTGTTTTTGCTTTAGTTTGTGAGTTAAGAATGTCTTTCCATTTAGTTGAAAGCAAGCTACATTAGCTCGTTATGTTTTTGTTTTTCAAATTGATTTGGACTTTTTATTTGTATATGTTCATTTGTTACATTAGGTAACCCTAGCAGAGTGGTAAGAGCCACCGCAGTCCTGCTGTGGCACATACATTCACAAACAGAACCCCATCTTAAGACCCCAGATTTCTATAACCTTCCCGTCCCAGTTCATTATGTCAAAAATTTATTTATGGAAAAAAAAAAAAAAGACGTATTAAGACACCAAGACAGCTCCCAACTCTCAGCTGCCTAAGTGGCCACTGGAAGGAGTCTATTATTAGTATGGAGAATATGAATATCTTTACTTTGAACACTGTTTTAAATAAATGGTTAGAATGGGTCACCTGACTGTTCTGATGAAGTACCTCATCCAGCCATGAAGAAGAATATGAAATATGTATCTTTAGTTCTTTTAGAAGACATTTCTCCCTGTTTCAGTGGTGATTACATAATCTGCATAGTTAGGTAAAATCAGCTGGTACTTCTGACCCACATTTACCAGTTCTTGGCTTCCAAAAGGTGATGCTTTGTAACATAAAAAAAATAATCAGTTTGATGAGTTGCTTGACAGCTTTTATGTTTTTTCTTTAAACTTTAAATGTGTGGGGCTTATGTATAAATTTATGAAATCATCAGCATAATGCTAAGCAAAATGGTTGGACATGGTTGATTTGTAATCCAGTTTGTTGTAATCCAGTTAAGTGACTGACTGACCCCTGTTCAGGTGCTGGGCATGTCTTATTTTCTTTTTCCTCAAATGAACAATAAAATTTACCTATGGTCCCTAGCCCACGTTTTGTAGACACACATTTCATTGCTCGCTGTGGTAATTTTCTGTGTTTGGTAGTAAGAACAGTGTTCTGATTTGGAGGTCATTACTTTTGGTGGGTCAGTGTGGAAGAAAATGAATCCCACAGTTCTTGCCATATTCTTAACCTCCATTAACAAAATCTTGACTAATCCCTGGGACTACAGGTGGAATCATGAGTCAGAAAATGAAATGAACACTCTCAGATTTATTCTGATCTTAGAAAATAGGGTTGACTACTAGAAATAGCTTTGGGACAAAGTGCTGATTTCAGGTCTCTTTAAGGTGTTTCTCTTGAAGTGTTTATCTTACTGTGTTTATTTCAGTTCATTGGACAGAAACTAATCTGCCCTTTGGGACTAGGTACGCCATATTTTCAAAGTGACATATCAAGGGAGTATTATTTGGTGTCAGTTAAAACATTCTCCTAACGAAGATGTCCTGGGAAAGACTCCTTTTTATAATTTGCTGTTTGTTCCTTTATGGAATTAGTAAATATTAACCGTAATAAGACTAATAATACTAGAGTAACAATTTATTTGACATTATGAAGGATGGATAAAATATTGCTAATAATTTCATATTCTAGCTAAGTAACATTTACCCTTTTTTTGACGTTTATCTCTTTTAAAGTGATTAATCTGTTTGATAAACAGTATCTTAAATGAAAAATCTAAGATTTATTGTACATTTTTTGCATTCTTTTTTTTCCCAACATTTATTTATTTTTGAGAGAGAGAGAGAGACAGAGTGTGAGCAGAGGGGCAGAGAGAGACAAGCAGGCTTCAGGCTCTGAGCTGTCAGCATGGAGCCCAACACGGGGCTCCAACCCACAAACTGTGAGATCATGACCTGAGCCAAAGTCGGACACTTAACTGACTGAGCCGCCTAGGCACCCCCATTTTTTGCATTCTTAAACAGTTCGAAATATTATTTTAATGACAGACTCAATTTGATGGTCATTATTCCCTTGTTCATAAGATTGTTTTAAGGACAGTTCAAGGGGAATAGCCCCCTGCCATGTATTCTTTTCAAATTCTTTATCTTGCTGCTGGTTTTCATACCTCCTACAGGCCTGCCTTCCATCAGCACTGTTGGTTTCTAATTTCTTTGAGCACTTTGTTGCTTTGACTCAGGTGAGGTTGTCTGTAAAGTATATTCTTTAGTTTTTTGCAGTAAGTTAGGAAACGTGATCAAAGTTGTTAGCCTCATTTCTAAAACAAATGTAAACGGTCTGTAGATAAAGTATGTTCTTTACTGTGTTTGGCTCCCCCTCCCCCCCATCCCTTAGCTCTGCTGTGGTGCACGCATTTATGTGATTTTTTTAAAAACACTTTTTGCACTTTTACTTATATTTAGTGTTGCAGGTCAGTAACTTAGATGAGTATTTACTGAATTAACTTGGTTAAGTGATACTTTAGTTTTGAGAATCTTAGAAATTTTCCTTCATTTCTGCTTTAAGAAAGAGAAATGGACATAGAATTGATCTTTGAATTCAAGTAATTATTTTGTTTCATTAACAATTTCATTACAAACTCATTTTAAATTATAAATCCGTATTTGGCAGTAAATGGGTATTTCAGAAGGCATTTTTCTTATTATAATTAGTATTCTATATAAATGAGAGTATATGTGCATATATTTGTATGAATATAGAAATAAGTTTTTTTATACAGCATTAAAAAAATTTTTTTTAAATGTTTATTTACTTTTGAGAGAGAGAGGAAGAGAGAGAGAGACAGAGTATGAGTGGGTATAGGGCAGAGAAAGGGAGACACAGAATCTGAAGCAGGTTCCAGGTTCTGAGCTGCCAGCACAGAGCCCAACATGGGGCTCCAACCCATGAACCATGAAATCATGACTTGAGCCAAAGCTGGACACCCAACCAACTGAGCCATCCAGGTACCCCTATACAGCATTAAAAATGTCTTCATGGGGCTCTTGGGTGGCTCAGTTGGTTAAGCGTCTGACTTCTGCTCAGGTCATGATCTCATGGTTTGTGAGTTCAAACCCCACGTTGGGCTCTGTGCTGATGACAGCTTAGAGCCTGGAACCTACTTCGGATTCTGTGTCTCCCTCTCTCTGCCCCTTCCCCGTTCATGGTCTGTCTGTCTGTCTGTCTCTCTCTCTCTCTCTTTCTTTCTCAAAAATAAACATTATTTTTTTTTTGAAAAGTCTTCATATGTATAGAAGTTTAATAAACACACAACACTGCTGGTGTATCTATGGTACTCCTCTGTCCTCACTTTTTTCTCTTATTTTTTAAAATTTTAGTGATGCTCTATATTGTTCAGTAATATCAGAAATCATCATTTTCACCCACCAACATTTCTGAAGTTTTCACCCACCCAGTCTCCCCCTCCCATGGCTGTGTTCAGGTAATGAAACAGGAAAGCCTGTTTTAAGTGCATTTAATATGTAGCATTATAATCTATGCCCGGAGAGAATTTGAAAAAGTATACATTATGTTTTTAGATAGCCAGCTTTTAGGAGACTTCTAATAATCATATAAGAAATAGTAGATGGTCATATGTTATTTGGTAAGTATTCTTTTGTAAATTCACCATATGATTATAGATCTGGTCCTAATGTTAAAGAACATAAGAAAAGAAAATTGACTTTTTTTTTAAGAATGACATTTGTCTTATTTAGTCATAATTTTACATAATTAAATATGGATATCTAGAAAAAATATATGTATTTGAGTGTGTATACACACACACACTCTCACTTTCTCAGACTGATTTAGTTTTTGTGGCCCCTTTTGAAAAGTTGATCTAGTGGTTTATTTAAAAAAGTTTATCCTTTTAATAAGATTTTCATTTCATTTTTTTTCTTCTAGAAGATTTGGCAGTATATTCTTGATTTGAGCCATTGGAAAACTACTACCAGCATTCTTTAATGAGAGTTGGATTTAGGAATCAGAAAGCAGGTTCTAGATTAGAGCTAGTGCGTTTTTTTTTTGTTTTTTTGTTTTTTGTTTTGTTTTTTTTGAAATCCTGTAATTTGGTTCACCCGTATGGATCAAGGAACTCAGGACCGTGGAAGTCAGATTTAATTCCTAGCTCTACCCAACTTGTCCTGGTGAATCATTTGAACTTTTTTTCTATAAAACAGCGTTGATTATTCCTGTCCTTACCCCCCGTGGTTCTGAACCAGGCATCACCCTTGTAGGGTCATTGGCGGTGCTTTTGTTTGTCATAATCACTGGGAGCTCCGTACCTTTGGGACCCAAGGAAACCAGGGATGCCAGCTGCCCAGCAGTGTGAGGCACAATTGCACAGGATAAAGAATTGTTCTTTACAGACATCCAGAAATGCCCTCTCGAGATACACTGACAAGACCTCTGTGAGAGTCACATGCAGTTGTGCGCGTGGAAGCCCTTTAAAATGTATGACCCACGTTCCACAAAGAGAAGACAGTGTCCTGCTCTACTACCTGGTTGAACTTTTCCTTTTCTCAAGGGCATATGGGAATACGACCTATCCTTTTAATACTATTTACTATGTTCCTTTGTAAGAGAAATTTGAATACCGTGGTCCTTTCTTTCAAGGATAGTGTTGTCCATTTTCTCTCAGTGTCACTTGACTGTCATGTTTTGTTTGTTTGTTTACTTTGGGCTGTAAGAATATTTCCAAAAGAGAAGGTGTATTTAACACACGAGATGTGATACATGACACTCAGCGGACAGAGTTGACAAAGCTGTTTCCTGCATTGAGACCGATTGGATTGTGCATGATGAGCCTTTTCCTGCTTCCTTAGACCCCAGTGGATCTTGTTACAGAGGGGGACTAATTGTACTATTTTGCTTCCCTTCTTCCTTGACCTCTCTTTGCTCTAAATAGTCTTGTTCCTTCTTCTGTCCTTCTCTGGATAAGAATATGGAGCCATTGTGGGGGGAGATATTTTCTGTGACCATTAAGAGGCGTTTTAAGATTCTACAGACACTAAGTGGGTCAGAGAAAAGGATTTGGCTACGTTTCTATAGGATTTCATTAAATTGTTGATAGGCACTGAACTTTAGGGGAGGTTATATTTAAATTTTTTTTTTCAACGTTTATTTATTTTTGGGACAGAGAGAGACAAAGCATGAATGGGGGAGGGGCAGAGAGAGAGGGAGACACAGAATCGGAAACAGGCTCCAGGCTCCGAGCCATCAGCCCAGAGCCCGACGCGGGGCTCAAACTCACTGACCGCGAGATCGTGACCTGGCTGAAGTCGGACGCTTAACTGACTGCGCCACCCAGGCGCCCCGGGGGGAGGTTATATTTAGGTGGTTTGGGTAAAGAACTTAGAAGGAAGGTATACATATTATATGTATTGCACATAATATAATACACATGTTATATCAAATTTTATTTTTAAAAAATTGTTAGCCAACGAGTTATTTCTTTCATTACTTCTAAGTCAGAGTTTTACTATGTGGTGTTGGGTCTAAACAGAATCTTTTCTGTTTCAAAATCTTCATTTTACATAACATGTTCTGAGAATTTGAGTGAAAACTTTTTGAAATGATTTACCAATGTAAACACTTTCAAATTACTGGAGAAATAATTCAGGAAAAAGAGGTGTTTAATAAAGTGTCATCTTGTATAATGACATTGTTCATCTGTTTTATTTTTAAACAGATACAAAGCATGGAGGACATAAAAATGGGAAGAAAGGAGGACTTTCTGGAAGTTCATTTTTCACATGGTTTATGGTCATTGCATTGCTGGGAGTCTGGACATCAGTAGCTGTCGTCTGGTTTGATCTTGTTGATTATGAGGAAGTTTTAGGTAAGAATTTTGGTATCATTTCTTTTGTGAATTTGTAAAAGCATAAAAGACATTCTTTAGTAATCTTAAAGATTTGTCATTATTTGGGGGCATACTCTTAATTTCTGTAGGCTTTCACTTGTTCTCAACAGGGTGGGAATACAAGGGGATGTTAGCAGGGTTACCTGGGAGTAATGACTTTTCAGCTTCTTTGAACATGAGCTGCAGTTAAAAAAAAAAAAGGCTTTATACTGTATGTATATCCCACAGAAAAGTTTTATCAAATAGCACTTAACTCTTAGGAAATGGAGTATTCTCATTTTTATTCATCGTGTTAGGAGTTTTAAGTATTCATGAGCCACAATTTATTTCAGGACCCAATTTGCAAGACCCTTCCTTAGAAAGCATTTTGAAGCATACCCCTTCTTCTTTTTGGAATGAATGCGTGTGTGTGTGTGTGTGTGTGTGTGTGCGCACGCGTGCGCGCGCGTGTGTATGTATTGGTGCTGGGATGGGTTGTATGTGTGTGTAGGTGTTGGGATAGGAGTGTGTATATGTATGTAGGTATTGGGATAAAGGTATGTATGTGTAGGTATTGGGATAGGGGATAGAGGTACGTGTGTAGGTGTTGGGATGGGGGTGTGTCTGTGTAAGTGTTGGGATAAGGGTGTGTGTGTGTGTGTAGGTGGTGAGGTGGGGTGTGTCTGTATGTGTAGGTGTTGCCATAAAGGTGTGTCTGTGCTGTATAGGTGCCGGGATAGGGATGCGTGTGTGTGTGTAGGTGCTGAGATTGGTGTGTGTGCGTGTGCGTGTAGGTGTTGGGATAGGGGTGTGCATGTGTGTGTACGTGTGCATGTGTTAGGTACTGTCTATCTGCTGTTGCAGTTGTCATGTTATTTCAGATAGTTGTCTTCCTTTCTCCTGATTTTTCCTTTTCTCTCCCAATAATCACTGCAGTTGTTCATGACTTTTTACATTAATGATTCATTACCATTTGTAGAGTCATATTCCTTGTTTTTTTTTTCTGCCTCATGAAGTCTTTTTTTAAATTGAGATAAAATTTACATAACATAAAATTCAATATTGTTGATATGTGAAAATGTGCAGTTTACTGGCAATGTACAGGTTACTAGTATACTTTCTGCATCTGTGATTTGCTTATTCTTGATATTTCGTATACAATCCTACATTTTGCATTCAGCATACTGTTTTCAAGGTTCACTACTTACTCCATTTTATGGCTGAATAATATTCCATTGTATGGAAACACACCACATTTTGCTTATCCAGTCATCAGTGATGGACCTTTGGGTTGTTTCCACTTTTGGTTATTGTAAGTGGTCTTCCTCTTTAATAATCCAGTGAAAAATGTGGACCCTGTCACTGAAAACAAATCCCGTGCTGTTCTATATGTAGCAGGTTGCATAGAAAATCCCCTCTCTTCCATAAAGCCTTCTGCTTTAGATGTGAGATTATAGTCATCTTTCTGGGGGAGAAAAGGCAAAACATGCTTATGTGTAATCTCCCTTTGGTTGAAGCTTTTCATTGTGATTAAAGCAGAGTGTCTCTGGATAGACTGTGAGAGTAATAGAGGAAGAATTTTAGTTTGGAGACAAACGGCTGAGTACATCTGTGCTTTTGTTGACGTACTATGGTATATTGCTAGGGAACATCTATTAAACAAGCGAAGAGATTTAAAATTATTATACATTTAAGAGCAAGTAACAATTTTCATGTTTTTACATGCATGCAGCCAAAGCAAAGGACTTCCGTTATAACTTATCAGAGGTACTTCAAGGTAGGCCTTTGGAGATGCATTTTAAGTCTACTTGTGATATCTCTAAAACGTCATCCTTATTTTATTAACTTAGTTGTCACATGCATCAGAGAATATAAGTGGTAGGACCAATTTCCCCCTTGAAGTTTGTCAGAAAGTATGGTATTTTCTATCTTTTTTTTTTAATGTTTATTTATTTTTGATAGAACACAAGGGGGGAGGAGAAGAGAGAGAGGGAAACACAGAATCCGAAGCAGGCTCCAGTCTCTGAGCTGTCAGCACAGATCGCTCGAACCCACAGACCATGAGATCATGACCCGAGCTGAAGTCAGACGCCCAACCGACTGAGCCACCCAGGCGCCCTGATATTTTGTCTTTTTAATGTTACTTGAGCTCTGTGCTATAGATTGCCTCAACGTGCAGACCAGTGCTTTCTATTTTCTTAGTAACGGAAACGATACTGATACTGCCTTATCTGTCCATCACTATTATTACTATTATTATTATTATCACCATCATTTCTAATGTGTTTTCTAAACCAGACTTCTACATGGCAAGTTAACTAGTTCCCTAAGTAGAACGAAGGCTCTGGGAGGGTAAAGATTGATCACAGCCACTTTTCTCCAAAACTTCTGCCTGCTCTTAGGCAATGTTTTAATTTACATTTTATTAAAGAGATAACAGTACTACAAACTGATGTTTTAGTACTAATGCTGGATTTGTGGTTGGTGTTTAAAATATTTCCGTACGTTATGTCTCTTCACAGCCATTATCCTATAATGAGTTATAAATCATGTTGATTTTAGGACGTTTTTTAGGATTGAATGTATCCGACTCATATTTGAAGTGCTAAGCGTAGCAGTGCTCCTAGATAATAAAGCCTTAAGATACATATTTATTCTGCTTGAAGAGGAAAGGCTCTGGTTCTGTTGTCTTCTCAAGTTGTGGTTTAATCCTTTTTTTTTTTCTTTAATAGATAGCTAGTGCTAGTTAAGTTTTAGGTGAGATAATTAAGTTTTCCTTTGAATTTCAGAAAGCCAGTTTTACATACTTTATTTCCAGAAGTCTTTAAGGTTGAGTCATGATATTTCTGTTGTAAATCATTATTTTATAAAATATAAAATTAATTGCCCTCTTATTTTCAGTATTTATACTTGATATTAATAAATATTAATTATATTTAGTCTTTATTTGACGTTTGGCGGGTGTTCCTTTTGTTTTGAATATTGATGGTGGTAGGAACTTTCCTACTTTAGATGCATTAAATTTCATGTTAGAAACACCTCAAGAATGTTTCTTATATATGTTGAAAATTTTACCTAAAATCTTTTTTAGTAGCGTAATAAAATTCTTCTGAAAGGATTAAATCAGACACTATTAAAACTTTAAAGAAAATATTTTAGCTCAGTTATATTTCTTAGATTGTTAGCCAGACAGTTCCTGAATCTGTAAGAGAATTGCCTGTCACTTACTTGTAGGTAAGGTATTCAGTTAGGATCTTCAGGATTTTCAGGATGCAGAGAGCAAAGAATTACATTGATCGGTAACATTTATGGCTAATGTTCAGGCCTGCAGTGAGTGGTAATACCTTATCAAACTTTTCTCCTTTCTTCCCATCCGTCTTTTCCTCCCCTTTGCAGGAAAACTGGGAGTCTATGATGCTGATGGTGATGGAGATTTTGATGTGGATGATGCCAAAGTTTTATTAGGCAAGTAGATTCTTTACTTTTTGCTGGAAACAAAACAATATGTTTGCCTTAATAATATCTATGTCAGTCGTACACATTTTATGGAAGATATTTTCCCAATTTAATTGTATATTTCATTCTTACTGATGTGTTGAGGCTTAATTGTTTTTCCATGGACTTACGTTTCAATTTACTTTTATAAGTGGATAAGTGTACAGCTCTTGCACGTAATATTTTTATAAGCATAATAATTTCATATCTGTTTTCAGATTTAAAGCACTTCATATTCTGAACTTAATATTCGAGCATATAGATAACGTCCTAGCCTGTTTTCAGATATGGTAATTATAGCCATTCATTATCATCAGTTGACATAATTCACTTCCATTTGAAAATGTAAGTTTCTAAAGGCTTACATAAATTCATTTTGAAATAAAATAGTGGTACTAAACATTTTAAAGTGTCCTATGCATATTTTAAAGGTAACATTAAAATATGGACCAGTAGTTTTTGGCTGGGTTTCTTTATTTTAGAAATCTTGAGACTTTCTTTTTCTATCTCTAGAGTTACCTGTCTTTTATCATTGAGATATTTCTTGTAATATATAAATATGTGATATTCCCTCATTTGTTTTATTTTTAAAAAAAATTTTTTTTAACGTTTATTTATTTTTGAGACAGAGAGAGACAGAGCATGAATGGGGGAGGGGCAGAGAGAGAGGGAGACACAGAATCAGAAGCAGGCTCCGGGCTCTGGGCTCCACGCGGGGCTCGAACTCACGGACTGCGAGATCGTGACCTGAGCTAAAGTCGGACGCTTAACTGACTGAGGCACCCAGGCGCCCCCCCTCATTTGTTTTAAAATGCTGCCTTCCTAGAAAGGATGGTGCTGATTTTAATATTTTATATAATCTGGCCTGGTGAGATGTGTGTTTCTGCTTGTGAAACAGCATTGCCTCCTTTGCTTTACTATGTAGTGTTACATGTATTAAAATTTTATATACTAAATTATTTAGAAAAATTTCAAATAAGACATGGTATTGTACACTATGTTTGCCAGAGTATTAGTGCAAAGAAATTCATCTTAGACACACAGTTTTGTGTCTATTTTGCGGATATGAAAAAAAATGAGAGGATATCACATTTATAACCAATGGTCAATCTTAACTGCCTTATAAAACAGTAACTTCTAAATATGAAAAAAAAAAAAGGTATAGATGTGATTAAGTGTAATTTAGCTTCCTAATTTTGACCTTAGTTTATGTTTGCTTATTACTGCTCAGTGAGAATTAGGTTTGCTGCTTGCCAGTGGAAGCTTACTATCCATGAAGTTTTTTCTCTGTCTTAACCTTAATGGAATTTTCTATTATTTTGTTATTACATATCTAAATTTTTCTATGAATATGGTAAATCCTCAGAGGACTATAATCCAGGACATGTAAAAGAAGTAAAATATATAGAATTTAACATATTGGAATGATGCTAATTTGCTTGCCTATAAATGGTTTATTATTCCATTATATTACTTTAAACGATGGGTTCTGAGTAGTGAAGCTTTTTCATTTTAAAGATAACTTCATGTGGGCCATGTTTCCTCATTTTTAGAGATAGTATTACTTCCATCTGCTACATTTTGTTGGGTTTTTTGGGGGGAGGGCTGGAAATCAGCTATGTGGTTTGTCATGGAATATCAACTATTAAATATTAAAATATATTATTTCGCCTATAGAACACACTGATTCCTATAGCAAATACATTAATAACTTGATTTTTAGTATTTTAGTTTGCAAGAGTTTACTTCCTGTAATGTTTTTAAGCAACCATTAAGAGGTTAATTCATTGTAACTTAGAACATTGCCATTTACAGTAGACATATATGTGGTATGGACAAATTATAACTTGTTCCTTTTATAAAAATTGTATATTTGGAGGTAGAACCAAATTTGGTGAATCTCAGCGTTCATTTTGGTCATTTGACTATTAAATGCACAAAGGCTAAGATAAACTATCTTACCATATAAATGTCCTAATTCACAGTTAGCCTGTGGCTTCACAGTTAGCTGAAACAAACCAGAAGTGAGCAGTCTGGCTCACTTATGTCCTCGGACCCTATTTCTGTAGTGATTGAATTCTCTGCATGAAATACAAGCTTGACTGGAATTGAATTTTATAACTAAAGTTCTTTTTTAGTTGGTGAGGTTATCGTAGCTTAGTTTTACCTCTGTTACTGGCAGGTCGTTTGAAAACGAGAGCCTGGTGAATTCTTTGGTTACAGAGTCATTAATGGGCTCTATATGTTCAGGGAAAGGTATTGGGGTGGGGGGAGCAAATTCAGTGAGTGTGTATCCCAAAATAAACCAGACTTGTTGGGTACATTCTCACTGGAGAGACTGCTCAAGGTATGGGCTTTGGATTAAGGCACAGGGAAACCAGAGGGACAGACGTAGTTAGGAAGCTGGAGATAAGGGAGAGCTTGGCTTGTAGATATAGTAACAGTTGAGATATGCTGAACTTTCGTAGGGTTGGCCTTTCTTTCATAAGTATTTCTTTCTGCACTCTTAAATCTGCGTGTATCTAAATGTTATCAATTTGAGGAAATGTACCCATTCATATTTACATTTCAAATTTTAAGATTTGGTTTTTCTTGTGGAATATAAAGAGAGAATGAAATATGTGTGGGTAAATCAAGATATTCTGAACAGCCATCATTAATCTCACTTCATTGTTTCTGGCCATGGCCCTGATGATATACTTCGAAAATATTCAGCCTGTTTACATACTTCCTACTTCTGTGGCCAAATTACTTAAAATAACGTATCTTTGATAATGGTTTGGATTATTGAAAACTACTGTTGGACATTGTATTCTTTGAAAACTTGTTTCCTGAATAAAATTAACAGGAAAACGATCCAAGGACTAAATGCCTAGAGTAGCATCATCGTAGAGTAACACTATCTAAGGATTACGCGATTGTCCTTTTGTCCGTGACTAGCACCTAGCTGGCACCACACCAGGCACGGCTGGAGAACAAAAAGGAACACCGTCCACAATTCCTAGAGCCTTGATAAGCTTTTGTAGACCGGATGCATCCATGAGTGAACTGGATCTTGTCCACTCAAAGGCATTCGCCTCCGCCCCTGGGTTCAGGTCTGCTCTCAGAGGCTGAGGAATTATATCCCCAGAATATTTCCCTTTTTCTCCTTGAAGTAGTATTTTTGTCTTAAGAACCACAGGAAGGTTGCATACTTGAGTCATAGTTTTGTCCAGATACTTCTGCATATTTGTTGAACACTTCAGCCTGTCATACTGAAGGGTAGTAAAGTTTTATAATTTATATTTGATACTTGGAAGTACTAGTACTTGAAAATGGAGAAAAAGAAACATGATTGTTGTGAATATACAGCTATAGTATTTTAAGGCAGGAAGAAGAAACAATGTTACTCCCACAGAGATTTGAATGGGAAATACAGACCTCCTCGGTTCATAGCCCTTGTCAACTGTTAAGTTCAGCGGAAAGCATTCTAGTTGTACCAACAAGTAGTTTAAATACCAGAATACTGCAATTTCTTTTCTCCTACCCCCCCATACACAAAGAATGATATGATGTAGCTCTTCTGTGGACCAGAGTGGGGGAAATACACTGTATACTTTAATATTTATACTAGGTGTCTTATTGTTGTGGCTTAGCTGCCAATATTGATTGCTGGCGGTTATGCCACATGGAGAAAGTTTGAGTTGTCCAAGCCTGACCTACTCAATGAGGTGGTTATAATCTGAAAAGCTCTAAAGTCATGGATGTTCACATTCTTTACAGCCAAAGCCCTTTACCCTGTGGTTTTTTTTTTTTCTTCTTCACAATTATGGGTTTTGTTATATATGGCTTGGCAGTATTGGTGGATTTTTATATTTACTGGGTCCAGAGATGTTTCTTACCCAAAGCCAGTTCTTCACAGGAAAAACCTATGATATATACTTTGCTTTCTTTCCATTTCGATGGCCTGTTTTGGGACTAATACTTAAACGAAACAAAACAACAACAACAAAAACAGGAGCCAGGGCCTTTGCAGTAGAAGCTTATTTCTTAGGCGTATGGAAAGAGAACCTTGGAATATTCCTCTTAGCAAATGACTGACTGGGACCTGGATCAAATTTAATATTGGTAAGCAGAGTGAATTATGATTAATAACTGACTCCTACCCTTGGTCAGAATTACAGGACCATGAGTCAGTAGCCAGAACACTGTAAATTACAGCTAACATCTTACTGTGTTAAACTTCAAGTTGATTATCTGATATAATTTGAATACATGTACATGTCTATCCGTGGATGCTATCGACAGTAATCTTGGGAGTCATGTAATTCCAGAGTTTCTAAAGTTAACTCTGGGTCCAAGGGGAAAAGTGTGAGGGAATGAACCTTTTTATTTTCTTCCAATGAATATGTACTGATATATGTAAATGCTTGTATAATCAACTCTCGATAATATCTGGTTGGTAACTCCGCAAATGTGGAGGTTGGTCAGAAGTATCTATCTTTTTACCCTCATAGTACTTTCATTCGTTCTTCCACTGACATTAATCAGTTGATTTTGGCTGAGGCAATTTTGTGTTTTGGGGCTCTAGATTCTCTACTGAGAGAAAGGCAAACCTGGTTAGGGGCTGGTAGGAATGGCGAGGACTGGTCGAATTGGACCTTTCCTGTGGTACATATGATTGAGAGTTGATTGTAAGGTGTGCATCTTAATCAGCCTCTTTGTTTTCCAAAATACCTTTTCCATAAACTTCTGTGACCATGATGCACATCCTTTTTGAGATCACTCTTCCTCAACTTCTTTTTTCCACCTAACTGCTCTCCTTATTTTCTCTTTCTCTCTTCCTTTATTCTTATGTAGGCCTGACCAAAGATGGCAGTAATGAAAATATTGATTCTCTTGAGGAAGTCCTTAATATTTTAGCAGAGGAGAGTTCAGATTGGTTTTATGGTTTCCTCTCATTTCTCTATGATATAATGACTCCTTTTGAA